AGATAAAAATACGTTTATTGACGTTTCAATTTCCACTTCGGAAATCGTTCTTTTAAAATTTTGAGAACGATTTCCGAATTGGAAATTGAAACGTCAATAAACGTATTTTTATGTTTAATTGTGGCTTATTCCCAGTTAAATAGTAATTCATTTCTATAGGGAATTCAAAACAAGTATAATTCAAGTAGTTCAGTTAAACCCCCAGTCAATGGGAGCACTATAAAACTAATATGTTAAAGCGTTATCAAAGACCAACTGACCAACAGTGGAAGATGTTGAAATATATGACTGTGGAGATGGTATATCTAAATTACACAGAGGTATGAAGAGTGGAATTATCGCGACCTATAGATCAATTGAACCTGAGCAAGCTAGTTTTGTAAATTGTTGAAGATTACAATAGTAATGTTGATCAAAGTATGAAATTTATAAATTCTTAATGGGTGCCCCTGATGATGCTTTAGAAAGCGAAACTACTTGGGCAAGATTTGATGAATAAAATTGTTCTCGATATCTGCCTTTAATTTTTCAAATATATAAATATGTGGTACATACACCGCTAAAACTTGAACTGATACCAACGTAACATAGAGACTATTGAAAGAAGTACTTAAGTAGCTTATATAATAACAAATAAAACATTAAGAGACATAGTATAAATGAAAAGATCTAAAGCGCAATAAGATTATTTTATTGTAATTTATTCTTGAATTTTCTTGGGTGTATTAATCATTCGGCAATATCACATCTGATTTGCATATAATAACTTACAAACTGTCATACAGAATCTACCGGTACAACGTTTAAGTACAAATATTTGTTGAACATTGCACTGTTTACATAAAGCAAACTATATCCACTACAATAAATTAGTTCCTTTCTCCCATAAAGAGAGACTATTATATTCTTATCGTTGTGGATAAAAAATATTTCGTGATAAATGTAAGTACATATACGATGATGCTACGGTATACGGAACAACTGTAATAATATGACTAATATTAGCTTAGCGATATGCCGGTATTAACCGACCATAAAAATGTAAAGAATTTAGTTAACTTGTCAACCACAAAATTATGTAAAAAATACGTCATATCCTTTCAGAGATTTTAACAATTGTGTTTACCTGATTTTTGTCTAATTAACATTAAAATATATCTATCTTTAAAAAGCGGGATTATAAAATAATGCTGAAAAACACATCAGCCTTATGTTTTGCAGAGTCGTCATGTATTATAAAGAGGTCGCCAAGTGATATAAAAGGGATGTTAGAGGGTTTATTAACAATAAATTTATTAATACTTCCATTTAACACAATATTTATTGACTATATTCATCTCTGTACAAATAGGTGAACAATTGTTTACAATATCAGCCGGAACATATTATAAACAATAACTCGATACGTCGACCTACACGAACTTGTGAAATACATTATATCTTCTTCTTCTTTTTGTGGTGCCAACCGTTACGGATGTTGATCAAATGGTCAAGGAAAATAATTTTTGTAAATTCTGGAGCCAAGATATTCTTCTTCTTCTTCTGTTTCACTGTGGTTATAATTTCACATGTCTTATCCATCCGACGTAGAACCTCAATGTTTGTTACTCGGTCCACCCAGGAGATCCTCAGTATCCGTCTATAACACCACATCTCAAACGCCTCGAGTTTTCCCATGGATGCCTCGGTTAGTGTCCATGATTCAACCCCATAGAGCAGCACTGTAAACACGTAGCATCTCAATAAACGGATTTTCGTTTTTAAGGGTAGGTCGTGGATCTTAAATATCTTGCTCATTCTGACAAACGCTGACCTGGCTTTTTCGATTCTCTGTTTTATCTTAACTGAGTGGTCCCATTGGTCGTTTATAGTGGTTTCTAAATATGTAGTAGTAACGGGGAACTTAGAGTATTTGTTGCTGATCTACCAGTAATTGTCTGACGTCAAAGAGGATGGTGACGTCTGCATATCTGATGTTATTCAGGCGCTCACCATTTATGAGAATACCCTCTTCGATATGCTCTAACGCTTGGCTCATGACGTGTTCCGAATAGACGTTAAATAATAGGGAAGAGAGTATGCATCAGCCCTGTCGTACTCCTCTCTTTATTGCAACTTCCTCTGTTAGTTGGTCTTTCACTCGAATGGTTGCTGATTGGTTGTAATATATGTTCTTGATTACTCGAAGGTCTTTTTTATCCACTCCAGTTGCCTTTAGTATATCCATGAGCTTATCGTGCTTGATTCTGTCGAAAGCTTTCTGGTAGTTGATAAAGCATAAATAAATATCGCAGTTGACGTCTCTGCACCTTTGGAATAAGACCTGAACCGCGAACAAGGCTTTGCTTGTACCTAACGCATCCCTGAATCCAAACTGTGTTCGTGAAATCTGTGACTCGCATTTCTGATAAATTCTTCTGTGTATTATTTTTAAGGTCTTAAGAATGTGGTTCATTTCTGAGAAATTCTTCTGTGTATTATTTTTAAGGTCTTAAGAATGTGGTTCATTAGATAATAATTAGATAATACGATGCTCTTCGCATTTTTTTGCATTACTTTTTTTTGGTATAGCAATCAATGTAGATTTTAACCAGCTCTCTGGAATTTTTCCCGAGTTATAGATTTTATTGAACGTTGTCGTAAGCCATTTTACTCCTTCGTCTTCCATAATTTTTAGAAATTCTGAATGAAAGTTGTCGGGCCCTGGTGCTTTACCTTCTTTGGTTGCTTTAATTGCGGCTTTGACTTCGTCTTGAGTGATTGGTGGTCCTGTGTCGTATTCCATAATTATCTGGTTGTTGTCTCTGTCGTCATCAAATGTCTTCTCAACGTATCTCTTCCATATATTCTTTGTTTGTTCAATATCTATTACCGGATAGCCATGATCATCAGTCATATGTCCTGATCTCTTGGGTTTGTACACTCCTGCTGCCTCTTTTACCATCTTGTGGAGATTAAACGAGTCGTGTCTACGTTATCTCTACAATGACTAATTATTATTGATTGATAGATTCCCTTTCTAATACCGTCTTCCTATTTATATTTTTAGTTATAACAACAAATGTGAGTTTTTCAATGTCACTCGTTTATTGTAGATTCAATGTAACTTCAATCAAAAATAATTCGTATATTAACTTATTCTTATATCGTAAGCCTTTTTGATTTTAATGTTTAAGGGTTAAAACCTTACTACACGCAGATCAGCAATTCTTCGTATTGGGTGATTAACGTCATGATTCTGCATTAAAGTTTCCCATTTTTGACAAGACAATAGCTGAATACGGTTAAACTCTGTTTTTTAATCCCGTTGTTAAAAGACGAAACACTTTCCTATTCATACAACTAATTATATAATTCTATCTAATATTTTAAATCTATTATCTTTTACAATCTAAATTTTGTCAAATTTCTTCTTCTCTATATTTTAAAACTCCATGTATATTTTCGAATCATAACAATGTATATATATATATATATATATATATATATATATATATATATATATATATATTAACTATTATAAAAATTAATAATAAACTCAACAGTCTTTCCTCTTCCTCTTCAACATCCTCTTTGATGTCTTCTTCATAGCCTCTGAGATCTCAGTCTCGCGAACCCCCAGATACTACTACACTGATCACCAACTGATGCATTACTGCTACTGTTTGGATGGTTTGGGTGGAGGTTGACGTATGGGTTAGCATGCAGATTGTCGCGAACATTTCTGACAGTAGGATTATGATTGGCGGGTGGAGCGGAGATATGTTCTTTATGAGAACATAAATATTGTCATACATTTGTACATTTTATAGAGGTCTCATGTCGAAAGTAACCGTATGCCGTCATCTCTTTTGTTGAGAAAATTTGGCTTTTTTGCAATTTCTATGGTTTCTCAGATAATTTTGTGACCTGTATGAAGATTGTGTTGATCTAGACATGAAATTGAATAGGAATTGTGAACAAAAATGGGATGTTCATAAATCATATTTTGGATTCTACGATTTGTTTGGCCTATATAGTATCGGGGGCAGTCTGCACAAGGAATTTTATAAACTCCGTGTTGTTCATTTGGAATGTTTTCTTTGATTGATCGAACAAGAGATGGAATTTTGAGTTGTTGAATAAATATTGTCTTTATTCCTCTTGATTAAAGAATTTTTTCGATTATGTCAGTAAGGAAGAACGGCTTTCGTGTGATGAAGGTCTGAGTCTGAGATTGTCTGTGGATGCTCCTATTGATGTGATTTATTGTGCAAGTACACCCGCTTAGCTTTTTAGTGTAAAACAAGCCCTCATCCAAAACTGTTACCGCGAAAATCAATTGTGCCCATATTTTCCGTCTTCTTATTTTCGTTCTTCTATATATCTCGATTAACCTCTGTTAGTTCGTTTCCTTCATTCTTCCTCTATTACATTCATATCTCTGAAATATTTTCATCCTCCATATCCCGATCTTCTTACTGTTGATCGAATTATTATCTTGTATATCCGGATTTTAGCTGCCATAGACATATATTTTGTCCCCAATAGCATATTTAATAATCCCACTGCTCTGTTAGCCTTCATTAGTCTTTTAGCTGTGTATCTATTTCTTCTATTTGTCACTGTTGCTCCTAGATAGTTTATTTCTCAAGAAAAACGTGCCATTAGTCTGCATTTTGGTGACTTCGATTTTATCAGTTTTAGAGATCAATTGACCATATGAAACAATAAATTTCCTTGAAATCTGCCTTAGTTCCTTTTACTCACTTTTTTTTACACAGTTGATAGCCTAGATTGCGATTAATGTAGATCGAAGTCAGGTCTCCTCGTCAACTGTTACATCTGGATTATACGAGATTAGTTTTTCAAGCTAGGATAGCAAGTTAGATATCCTAGTATCCTAGCGTAAGTTACTGTCCTGGCTTGGCGCATGCTAGAACGGTTTACATGTGGCTAGAAAATTTGCAGCCAGTAGCTAGTACTATTGCGAGATTAATAGAGCAACAAATCCACTGAACATGGTAAAAATTTCTAAAAAAAACAATGTTCGACTGAAACAGTTACTTCGGAAAATGTGTCTAATTGCATTGGATGAATTAACAGAAGCTTTGGAAAAACGCGTTTGGACAAGACCATGCCTTTTAAAAAGGAATGATCGTGGATCATCCTCACTGGTTTTAGAAGAACTTCTCAATGAAGACATAAAAGAGTCTGTCAGTATTTTACGAATGATGTCAGATGTGTTTGATGTTCTGTTGAGTCTTGTGATGCCAAAAATTCAACAGCATACTATTATGAGAGAGGCTTTACCAGCAAGGGTAAAGTTGGAAATCACTTTAGATTTTCTTTCATTCAGCATTAGTTACAGAAGACTGAGTCACATTTTTTGTAGTGCTGAATCACGATTAAACTTATCTTTATATGATGGAATAGTGGCGTTAGACAGACATTCTTCCTCAGGATACATTTTTACAAACTTTAAATTAATCTCGGTACTTAATTTTGGCATAGGTATTAGTTTTAGAAGCACGTGGATATCTCTTGGAAAAAATAAAACAGGTGGACACTAGACATTTGCCGTTCGAAAACACTAGCTTTGTCGGCCAGACGAGGGTAGTACACAAGCCAGGATACTAAAACGGGTAGAAGAGGCGCAAGTAGCTTAACAAAATAGAACTCCATGCTATTAAACTATCCTAGCTTAAGACACTGGCTTATTGTCTTTCTCACTAGCTTACACGCAAAGCTAAGCTAGTAATAGTAGCTTGCTAGTTTAAAAGCGACAGAATGCTATCCTAGCTTGAAAAACTAGCCTCCTGTAATCTGGTCATTAGAGAGTGGTGCTTGAAACCTTCTATTTCAAATTTAAATTATTCAAGTTTGAGATCAGCAGTATAGATGTTTGCCAATTCTTCTGCTATTATTTTTAGATCTTTTATTTGCATTTATTAAATTCGAATTCATTTACATGCAATGATAATGTAGAAAAGATACCGAAAACGCAAAGTTCTATGGAAAGACAGATTCTAAACATTAGGCTATCAGATAGGAAAAGAAACAGCTGGATTCGTAGTTAACCAAAAAATTAACTATATGTTGGAGACCTTGGGATCATAATCCTTAAAGACGAAGACCACAACTTGGGTGGCCAGATGACATAAAACAACATGCTGGAACCGATATTGATGCAAATAGCGCAAAATAGACAACTCTGGAAAAATGAGGGGGACGCCTATGTCTAAAGCTGGCAGTTCGTAGCTTACTAGATAGAACCACAGTTTCAGTTTAAAATACATTTAGTTTGACGTTTCAATATGCAAAAACATTGACAATATTATTTAAACTCATCTACTTTAAAATTTATAATACATGTCTGAATTGTCAATATGAAGGAGGCAAATAAAAGTAAATTAGAAGAATATTTTGTATTACTAAGTAACGAAACAAAATAATTTGTTTAATTTGTATTTTGAGAACGATTTAAGAAATAGAAATAGAAACATTCATAAAAAAATAGTAAATGATATTAGAATGTCACAATGAAAGAGCTTCAGAATAATATTTTTACTTTTTCCAAAACATCTAGTCGATTGATTTTTTTAGCAAAAGTCACTAAAAGCTACTGTTTTCTGAATTATAAACAAAATTTTTCTCGCGCATATGATAATGCTCTATGTCTAAAAAAAAATCAATATTATACATGATTTATTTGTTCCGTTCTTTTATGGGCTAGCCTATCGTATCTCCCATGACAATGACGTGTCCACCTGCCCAGCTTACAATACAATTGGATATTTATCAAAAGGATAACGCCATTTGACAAAAACTTTTCAGGGCTATACGAGAACGTGTTAGTAGCATTCACTTATACATAATTTTAACATTTTTTTATATCAGCCAAATTCGCCGCTCTGTTCTGAAAATAAAAAATTGTAAATTGTCATAATAATAACAACAATATTTAGGTTTTATTCTTGAGTTATGGATCGTTATATCTTAATTTTTTATTTATTCGTTCTTTAGAATATTGGTCTTTTCGAATTGCATACCAATATTGAGTATAACTTCGTTACATCTTGATACATCCCTGAAATACTGCAAAGAAATCTGTTTGTAATTTAGTTCACACATGGTCGCATGACGGAAATTCTCCGATATTATCAGGATATGCGGTTGCATGTCCTGCATGTTTCTCAACATTAAAAAATGCTACTGAAACTGCATTCATCCGATTTGAATTAAATATATCTCTTATTTCAAAGTCGATATTTCCTTTCCTAACTTTGATAGTAATAACTCAATTAATTGTCATCAACCATTGTCAAGTTTGATAAAATGTGTAGAATTTACACAGATTTTCACAGACTTCTGATCATATGATGTCCAGATACTGGTCCAAAATACCTTTCCACGAGGAAGTCATATATTCCAGTGGTCATATATCCACGAGGAGGTGAATGAGGTAGAGGAAAAACAAAATCCAGGCTGCAGAAGTATACGTGGTACACAGACAGGTTTAAAACTACAGAAGGGTCGGGTATTGGAATATTCATTATTAGTGGAAATGTAAACATTTCTATCTCACTAGGAGAATATACCACTGTATTGCAGCCCGAGACTTTGTAGTCTTGCATTTGCATTGCTTAATAGAAATTAACATAAGGGCTTTTAAACTGATAGTCAAGCGATCATGGATGTTCTTTGAAGTCGTATGGTGGACTATAGACTAGTGAGGGAATGCCGAAAACTGACTGGCGCAAAATAATAATGCCACAATGGTATTGGTTTAAGGTCACCGGGGAATACAAGGCAATGAAATAGCTGATAAACTTGAGAAAAGGGATCAGCAACAAAATACTTTCAGGGTCCAGAGCCGACCGTAGGAATGCCAAAAAGCACCATCCCCGGCCGGAAAAAAACCTGGATCCGAATCTAACATAACATTTACTGGGAAAGTATACTCGGTCAAATACATAAGAATATGGAAATTGCATAGACATGCGCTGCTCCGTAGGGCTGAACTACTACGGAAACAAACAGAAATCAGCTCAATGTGCCACTCAAGGAACACCTGTATACAATGGAACTGCTGTATGGCGCTTTAAGTTGCAGACGCTTTAAGTTCAACCACATCTTGCATGACTGCGAAGAATTAGATCACATGCGGCACATTCTTTTTGGCACAATCAAGTGATTCCAAAAAATATGTTACCCATTCAATACCACGGTAAAAGTCGGTGCAGGGTTCCAGAAATATGTAATTCTATTATTATTAATAAAAGAAAGATGTAAAATAAGCTAATGAGCTGGCTCGTTTATAACAGACGACTTGCGAAAAAGAAAACTTCAAAAAATCATAGTTTATTCGTTTTCTTCGAACTCGAAAATGATTTTGACCATTATTTTGACATCGTTTTGGCAAGAGCAAGGTAGCACTTGCCATTGTCATATCAGGTAGTAACGTTTCTTGCTAATGCTGTGACAGTTAGCTCTCACATGAGACTCACTCACTGTGACATGATTCCTATTCACTGACTACCAATATTCCTAAAATTTCTTTTATATCACTTCCATTTATTAAGAATGTTACTCCCAAGTTGACCAGAATTTTTTCTCGATAGTTGCCAAATGTAAAAATTGCTTATAAAAGCACTCTAGTTGTGAGATATTTGTACAAGTCATTGAAAGACAAAGTATCAAACTCGGATAAAAGTGATGTTGTATACAAACTTGGTTGTTTAAGCTGTGAAGGTTCTTATATAGGTCACACCTCCCAAAAAGTTTCCAGCCGTTTGACTTTTCACAAGAGTGACATTAGGTTACATCCCGATAGATGTTCCCTAACCACACATGCTAACACAACAGGATACTCTTTCGATTTCCCAAATGTAGAAATCCTATCCATGGAGAGTAATAATTAAAAAGATAGTTTCTCGAGATGGCATTCATTTTTCAAGAGGAAGAAACCATTAATAAAAAGACAGATACCAATAATTTGAATAACTTACACTCATTATTGTTAACTTTAGGTAACTGCAAATCTATTAATAAAGACAATTTATCGTCTAAGTTTCATTGTATATGTGATATATACTGTTCTACTCCATAAAATAATATTGTTCTGAAGCGTTTATGGCTTTTTCAGTATATATATATATATATATATATATATATATATATATATATATATATATATATATATATATATATATATATATATATGTATATGTATATATATATATATATATATATATATATATATATATATATACATATATATATAGGTAGAAATGATCAGATATGGTGACTCTATTAAAAATCCTTATTTTTTCCAAAGAAACTCAATATTTTGCTATTTATTTTATAGCTTCATCAGGGGTACACTGTACAACAATAACATTACAAAAATGGCGTACAAATACATTTAAAAAACATTTACAGAAATTAAAAAATTTCACATATAAAAATTGACATTGAAAATAAATGTCATGATTAAATTGTCATAAGCACGTTAGTCACAGTAATATGATTAAAACAAATTTAAAATGACTTTAAGTGTAAAAACAAAAATAGCAATAAAATAAACGTTAAAAGAATGATATTTCTTTGATAAAATATTAAGGTTGGTTGTTATTAAGGTGAATATTAGCTATTTTATATGTTACCCATTTTAGAATCATGGACGGGACCGTCATAGAAATTAGTAAAATCAGTTTTTTTTAATTTGTTTAGGATATCCGATGTTACAAAAAATTTTGTATATGTCCAGATTTTTTTGTAAAAAGTTGTCATCAACAATGGACATTATCCTGTATGTCATACCTAGTACGGTATTATATTTTTTACGGGTATTATGATTTGAATAGTAATTTATATACCTACCTGATGCTGTCGGCTTTTGGTACCAATCTAATGTCAAAATATTGTTATTTGTTCTTATTACCCTTGTGTCTAAAAATGGTATACTGGTATATAAAATGGTATGAAATCTGTCTCAGTTTCAATTGTAAACTGAAGATATTTATTAAATGAATTAAAAATGTTTAGTGTGGTATTGATGTGATACGATGGAACTGCACATATGATGTCATCGACATATTTATATAGTAAATGGTAATTCAAATGGTAATTGCGTAATCACATTATCTAAGAGATGATCAGTTACAATAGTTGCAAGGATTGGACTAATCGGGGGACCCATCGGTGTTCCAAAATTTGAGAATAAAATTTACCATTGAAACTAAAGTAAGTGTTGTTAAAAATGGACCTAAGAATTTGTAGAAAAAAACAGTTACAATAGTAAAACCGAAGATCCCCCATCATCAGCAATTACAGGATAGTTTGAACTATGTTCTCCAAATCATTTATAATTAAGTCTTGTACCGGCATCATTTAATTTACTTTTTACCGACTGACCTGAAGATGCTATGCAAATTGTAGAAAGCGAAACCGGTCGTCTTGGTAGTTAAATTAAACTGATTGTAAGTATATTTATTTCTTTTTACCTATTATTTTTACCTATTTAAAGTATTCAAATTTGAAAATTTATTTATGAAAAATTGTCTATAAAAATGAGTACTACTTTTTGAGATGGGGTCCTACATATTCGTATTCATTAAAAAATTTTACATAAGATAGAATCGTTTTCAACTCCACCCTTCCATGCAAACAGAAAGTAAATATCTGACGGACTATATTCTAATTATTAACTTTTAATTTTGTTTCTTCCATCTATTTTAGATTTTTTAGGTTTGTATCAAAAACAAATAAATAAAAGTTAAAGTGAATTGTAATTAAGTAAATATAATTGATATCTATTGGTACACACGATATTTTGTTTTCAAATGAGGGTGTGGAAGCATTATACTAACGGAACTGTGTTAGCTTATAAAAAGCATGAACTAAAATATTTACGGCACATTTTTATCGCATTTTTTACTTTTTTTACTCCAAATATAAACGATTATTTTATGCTTAGAAATTGTTGAAAGAAAGAATAAAAATTAAAAATAAAAACTAAAAAATTGGACTTTATTTATGTTGTTTTCTTCGGAAGATTTTAGAAAAATTAACCTTTATAATCAACTTGGAATAAAAATAAAGGCGATTATTTAAATAATACTTTTATTTTTAAATTCGCACTTAAAGTTAAATAATTGTTATAATTATATCGATGCAAAATCATAATCATAAAAATACCTATATAATCTCTCACCACAAAATATTTTTAAAGATCTAGGATTATCGTTATATAAATTTAAGTAGGCAAAAGTAACAAATAATCTAATTATTCTATTTTGTTATCTTATGTTCCAACTTATCATTAAATATGCTATCATAGGCAGGACATTGTGGTTTTAGAACTGGTTATCATCTTAACATTCTACCTAGGCTGCTTCGGATCTTAATTACTATTTTAATCTTAGTTTTTATAAATAGGTGTAGAAACTAACGTAAATAGAAAAAAAAAATTATTTCCTCTATTTTTATTATTTGAAAATTCTTTCTATTGACGAATTAAAACATCTGTTGTCAATTTTCATATAATGAAAAAGTTATCTCTTGAATATCTTATATCTAAAATATATCTAAAAATATTTCTAATTATGAAAAATTTATGTACTTTATTTATATATTTTATCTGAATTTTGATTCTTACATATGTAAGAATCAAAATCGCCTGCACAAACGGTATAAACAATCTATACCACCTGCGAATATTGCATGTTTAAAATAAAATTAAAAAAGAAAAAAACTGTAGCTTCCTTCTGTAGTTCAGATCAGGGGAACAGGTCAGAAACTTTTCTAAAAATAAAATGAAAATAACCTAATAATAGCGTTTGTTTTGATTGCGGTAGGTATCATTTTTCGTAATCGATTTGTAATCTCTTGTTTTTCACTTTCTTGACACATTCTTTACAAGATTTCTTGGATATTTATGTGAAATTTTCTATTTTAATTCTTCAATAAAAAAGAATTAGATATACAGGTTGTCCAGCAACTCTCCTGACAAACGACGACCGGAGATTCCTCAGATAATTTTAAGACAATTTAACGCAATTCGCTTAATCCGAAAATGCATCTTACGCTAGTGCTCTTTAAAGAGGCCGTCTTGTAATTAGTTTTTTTTATATATACCTCTAGAACGCTTTTATTTAGAAAAACGAAAACTGGTACCATTATTTAACCTCTAGAGTTAAAATAATTTCATAAATTGCTAATTTATAGTACCGTTCACAGGCGTCCGTTTTGAGTAGGTCAAAGGTTATTTTAACCCATAACTTTTTTGTCTTTACCTTTTAGCATTCATAATACTAGATTATTAAATTTTCAGGTATTCTAGTACTAAAAGGTACTCTTACTCTAAGTCGATAGGATACACCGTTGTCCAGAAAAATTGATTTGAAAATTTTTCAAAAAATTTCAAATTTGAAAATCGATTTGAAGTAAAAAAATAGATTACATAATAAAATTTACTGAATATCATCAGGTTGTCTAGAACTGTTATTGAACGTACGGGAACAGTGTTTTTAAACATACATAAACATAAAATGACTTAAAATTAAATACATAGTATCTAGTACTAGTTAGTCGTACGTCAGAAGTTTGATTAGGCAAATTTACGAAAAAATTGTAATGTACCGCCAGTTTCCATTTAGAGGAATATGGTTACAAATATATATAATTTAAAATGACTGCAATTTATTTTTATTGATATAAGTTCTTTGTTTTAGGCTGAATGTTGCGGTGTTAGAGGTCCTTCTGACTGGAAAACTATAACAAAAAGTGATGTACTGCCACATACTTGCTGTCCTCACACGCAAGATAATGACTCATGCACAATAAATTCTGAGCATGTTTACCAAGCCTCCTGTTTAACAAATTTGAAAGAGATTTTTGTCAAATACGGCATTATTATTGGAGGAGTCGGACTGGGAATAGCAGCCTTGCAGGTAAGTCGTTTATTTGAGATACTTACTTTGCGTGTTCGGGTTACTTGTTTAAATTTTATACTGCCGATACTCAGCAATTTTGTTGCCTTTTCATTGGCTGTATTTAATCAAATAAAGTACATTCTTGTCTAAATCTAAGTAAGTACAAACCAATAAGCGCTCAGATTTCTGTATTTCGTCCCAGTCATATCTGTGATCCTCTGAAAACCGCTCACCTCTCTAAATTTAACCTGCATCATGCGGTGCTAGTTCTGAGCGTATTAATGGAGCTTTATACTGTTTAAGGTAATTGGTGACCTGCTGTTCTTTAGGATCTAAGGCAACAATGGACAAAGTTTCCCTCCAAACCTGAAGGCAACGCTGTTCAGATCTCTTCTTCTTTTTTTGTGTAGATATATCTCTATCTGTTTTCAATATGCCTCCAGTAAGTTGTCGTTCGATCTTTTTCTTGGTCTTCCCACTGATCGTCTTCCTATTACGGAAATTGTAAAGTGTAAATTCTGTATTTTATTTCTTTCTCGATATTTTTATTACTCCATATTGTTTCATTCAGGCAACGTACTGCTCTGTTTGCTCTATTCATTTGATCTTTCATTTCTGTTTCGAGCTTTCCGTTGCTAGATAGTGTGATACCTAGATATTTTAAATCCATCGCTTGTTATATTATCTGACCCTCCAATCTATCTTATCATTATTCTCTTTGCCTTTATCCCTATGCGGAGTCGGCTTCCCTAATTACATTTCTCCATAAGTGTCCATCTTGAGTCATATCAATATTAATAACCTTTACCGACATGTCCTGCCTAAGAATCACCCCCTCGGTATTTTTTGATCTTCCTCTCCTACTACTTCCAGGAACCCACAGATCACCAAATCTTCACAAAATCAATTGGGTTATTAACGTCTCTACGTTGAACATGACCAAACCATCTTAACTTATGCTCTCTCATCTTGGCAACAATTGGTGCCATCTCTAGACTTCCCCTAATATACTCATTCCTAATTTTATTCTTTTTTAAAGCATTCTCATTTCCGCCACTTGCATTCATTGTTCCTCTTTCTTTTTAACTGCCCTACATTCAGTTCCGCACATCATAGCTGGACTTATGGCTATTTTGTAGAATTTTTCCTTTAGATTCATTGGAATTTTTCTGTCACGCAACACGCCACTCAATTCCTTCCAGTTCATCCATCTAACCCTAATTCTACTGCATACATCTCCATCTATTCCCCCATTACTCTGTAACACCGATCCTAGGTACTTAAAACTATTACAATCATTTCATTTTACCATCCAAATATATCATTCTATTTGTACTGACTCCATCTTTAAATGAACTTTCCAAATATTCTGTTTTTGTCCTAGTAAGTTTTAAATTTTTTTTCTCAAGAGCTTGTCTCCACTGTTTCAAGTCGCTTTCACTATTTCCTACTAACACTACATTATCAGCATACATTAATCACCACGGAATATTGCCCTGTAGTTTAGTTATTATTTGATCCAGAACTGATGACAATAAATTGGTGCAATCCTACTTTCACATGAAATTTATTAGTCTCCCCCACACTTGTCTTAATACTAGTTGTTACTCACTCATAGATGTCTCTCATAATCTTTACATATTCACCGGGGACTCCTTTCTTATTGAGTGTCCACCACAGAACCTCACGAGAAACTCTATCATATTCTTTCTTAAAATCAATGAATACCATATGAGCGTTTGTTTCTTTATTCCTGTATTTTTTCTCATCTGCCTTGCATAAAGTCAAACTGGTTATCGGATATTTCTGTTTATTCACGCATCCGTCTATGAATTACTCTCTCCTATATTTTCATGGTGCGACTAAGTAGTTTTATGGCCCTGTAGTTTGTACATTGTTGTACATCTCCCTTGTTTTTGTAGACGGGTACTAATACACTGCTTCTTCATTCGTCTGGCATTTGTCTAACTTCCATAATTATATTAAAGAGACCTTTTAACCAATTTGTCCCTGTCTCTCCTAATGCTTTCCACACTTCCTCAGGAATATCATCTGGTCCAACTGCTTTTCCTTTCTTTATTTTTTGAGTTACTTGAGCCACTTCTTCGTTTGTTATTTCTTTCATTGTGTTGTTCTGGTATGTATTTTCGATCGTTTTGATTATTCCTAGAGGTTATCTCCCTTGCGTACAATAAATTAATAACGTCTTTTAATTTGAACTGTCAAATGCCTTAAGGTGCACGAAACAGATATGCCGGTTTGTTGTATGACTTCTCTCGCACCTCATTACCTTTTAGCTGTTTTCTGAAGTTGTGAATTCTTGAAATTTTTGCGAGAATCCAATCTCGTCGGATGCCTTGTTTGGACAAATCTAAGATGGCGCGGGTCACTTTTTTGTTTCTTCTTTTCAATTGCAGAAACTACGATTCTTCTATGGAAACTGTAATGGGGTTCTCTGCTATCATAAATCAATATTTAAAGTCGTACGTATGCGGTAAAGGCGCGAGCGTCAGACCTTGCAGGGATTACACAATTACGATTTCCTACAATTTCTTCTTTGCAAATTTTTTCGTGTCGTCGATATTTTCCGAGTTAAGGGAAAAAGTGGTGGAAAGGGAAACCATAATTATCGAATTCGCTCGTAGCGACTAAGCATAATTATTGAATTATCTCGTTTATTATTAACTTTACGTAAAATAGGTATTTCATTATACTGACTTACAATGCCCGTTTTTAATCCAATATGATACTACAAAAAAATTGGGGGAGAGGAAGTTTGGAGAACCGCCCCCAAAAATCTAGAAAAATTGAGGTTATCTTGGTTAACTTCCGGTCATAAAATTTTTTCAAAAAGTTGTTAAAATTAGAAATTTCCATTATTTAAACAGATGTAAGGAAATAATTATATGCCGATATTTACCTTGTTACTTAAAAGCTGGAGACTCACTTGTTTCTTTAAAACAAAATCATTACGTTGAACAAACGATCGATTTAATTTCGATCCATAACTTTGCATGCAAAATAAAAATTCGCACAAAAAAATAATTTTATATTTTCGGCCTTCTTATAAATGACTTAACTAATTAACTGAACAAATATTTACACATTTTTTTGTATGTTTCAGCTGATTGGAATAATATTTGCCTGCTGCTTAGCTCGTTCCATACGCAAAGAATATGAAACTGTGTAAATATAAAAATTAATGTACACCATTATAACATAGCATTTTACCCAATCTATATAGTATTCTGTCCACTGTTTTCTATTTCTTTTTAGTTTATACTAATAATTGTATTGTATTTTTTCGATGTCCATGTTATTTGTCATAATGTCTTTGATATTAGTTGATAATAATAGCTGTCATAATATGGTTTTCACTAATATCTAAGATATTTATTTTTATATTATTTGCCAATTTCTAGGGGCTAAGGATTTTTTGCATTTTACAATTAAAGCCAAAGTGTGTCTGAACAAATTAACTCACAAGAAAATCTCACAAGTCTGATTTTAACTTGAATATAGTACAATTTTTAGTAGTAAATGCGTGTCCCAAAAAAAATATGATTATTTGTTAATGGTATATTAATGTCTTTTTATTTTGCATACAGAACTAGAATAAAATAGTATAGAGCTTCTAAAAACTTCATATTTCGAAATACTCTCCAGTAATTGCGTTCTTGGGGGCATCAACTGCATATTTTGACAACTGGAATCCGTAGTCCGGCCTTGATTTTCGGAAAAGTAATAAAATAGTTGTGTTTTAGGACGGGACTGTGGAAAGATTCGAAAGACGGTGTATCAATTCGGGCTTTTGGTGTATTAGAACTTCGACTGTCCTGCCAACTGTATACGCACTTGTATTGTCCAAGTTGAGGATGATTCATTGTTTAGGATTGATTTTCAAAACTCAGCGATAACTTGCGCAATACAAATGGTTGGATACAGTCGGCAAGTATATATATTTGATCTTTAGGAGAATTGTATGATCTGCTTTTGAGACAAGTATCACGTCTATCTGTTTGGAGACACAAAATGGATGACTGTTGTCTACTTTTCTTTACCTCGAAGCATCCAATTACATGACTGACGTTTACTTTCTGGTTTTTATGAGTAAATCCAATTGGTATTTTTTTAGTTTCATGTATGTAAGCGGTGTAGGATTTTTTTACAACAATTGACCGCAGCTGATTTGTTTTCATTTGTTACCCGATGCGTTATCCAACTAAAAATTAAATTTTTTACATACGATTTTCCGTGCAAATATTTTTGTCTATGTTCCGGTATGCAAAAGATAAAAGACACGCCTCGCATAACGATTATTTGAAATAAAAAATATAATTTATAAGATAAGTAAAGCGATTTTAGGTGAAAGCAGTATGTAGTTGGAATATGTTTGTATTTTTCTTCTTCTATGAATAATGAATTGTAAAAACACACTCAGTATTATTAAATAATAGCTTTATCGTTTCATTTGATATTCATTCCTTACCATTGACATTTGAGTTTCTTGAAGTTAATGCTACCGAAAATGCACTTAACACATTGACTGCCAACTACGAGATAACTCGTAAACTGCGTTCTGTTCTAGGACGCCAACTACGAGTTAACTCGTAAGAATATAACGTGATCAAATAAAATTATCATTTTAGGCCAGATTTTTCAAAATTGCCGTGGCAGTCAACGTGTTAAATAAATAAAAAACACTTAACATGTTTTATGTGCTGTAAATATTATTTTTCATTTTAATCAAATACAAAAATATGACTGCTTATTCCTTATCCTATCCGTATCCTATTATTACAGACTTAAAACTGAATATTAATTCTCATTTTACAAAAATTGTGTTCCTGGAAGACATGAAATACTTACGATCAAGCCTACTGCCTGATATGTACACAAGTAATACACTTTTATCAATGCTTTTATGAAAACTGAAATGTCACATATAAATGGCTTTGGAACAGTAGTGTCTAAATCATGATTTAGTGAAATTTGTTTTAACCCTTTATCCCTTAATTCAAAACTTTAAATCATAAATAGAAATACTGATATGTTTCGTGCATACGAAACTTTAATAAGATAGAGAAAATATATGTTTTCGAAGTCGAATTGCAAAAGATTGCAAACTTTTATTCAAATGCGTAGTTTCTCTCAAAAGTCTTCGTTCATAACTCCGAAATCTTTTATTCCTCGTCGACCAGCTCGTGGCATTCTTTGAAGTAATCCCTACCGAAAGCTTCCATCGGTGCTGTGTATCGTTGCAGGATCCCTTCGGCATGCTGCCTTTTTATTCGTTAATATTCATTAAATCTTAACGCAGTGAATGTTGGGGATGTTCATTTTAAATTACATTAGCAGATCGTATTCTTGTAGAATGGCAGAATTAAGGATGTGGCAGATGATATGATTTAACGAATACAAGGCATCGAGATGATTGAATAAGTTCTGAAATTCACTTTTTGTAATGGCCTTGAATTCCATCGTAATATTCGTAAATTGCCGAATTTTCTATTTTCCCGCTGCTAACTGCAATATATAGCACTTTCGTGAACAGTTACTGATTAAGATCGAACTTCAAAGAGGACGCTGATTCCAAAGTCATGTCGAAATCTTCATCCTCGTTCTCATCAAAATCGGATACATCAGATCCCTCCGATGGGATATTCGCTAGTAAATCGTAAGCGTCATGACTTGTTAATTAACTCAAATCAAGACGTCTTTTCATTTTGGAATTGTGTAACAATTCCTTTTGTACCTTTTATCATTAGAATAATGTTTGTTTATTTACACAATAAATAACCTCGCTAGCATTCACTTGTGAGCGCGCCAAATGTATTATATACAATGTGCACAACTGCTCCTTGAATTTTGTTATCGCGTGGGAAGTGAAATACACGACGTCTACATCGCATTCCGTCTGGTGGTCCCAGCGTACGATTACTTGGACAGTAGGAAAAAATTTGTTTAAAGCTGGTTCCACCGTGGAGCCACTAAGCCTGAAAAGGTTAAAGCGAGCTGTAGGGATGTGTCTGGTACGTATGTTCACCAGTTACGAGTAAAGGGTTGAAATAATTTTGCCACTTTCATTGTTACCACACAAGTTTAACATATTTTAAAATTATTATTTTACATACTTCACTAAGGATAATAATTTAAGCTTTGTAATTTTTGGGACATAGTATTAAACATTGTTCGTTCGTCACTAATTTTCGTGTTATTCACAGACTGATTTGTTAGATTATCACTGTTGTTTTTTAAATGATATTTTTTATTTATTTGTTAATATCACGAATATAACTAGCTGGTAAGTTTTTTAAGTTTCTAAAATACCTGAAATTGTTCAGGCTCTGTATACGGGGTGTTCAAAATAGACAAGAATAAGACTTCGCTCAAAATGAGGCAAAATATTTCGTTCTTTTTTATATATTGTCTTAAATGGTGCCAAGTGATTTATAATTGAAGATATTACCATTTATGTAAAGATGAGCTAAAAAGCAGAAACTTTGCTATGTATTTATTTTTTCAAATATAATGGTGTATTTATCATATTTGTATTTATAAGACATTAATTAATTTGGTCGGACGGTATAAAACTTTCAATTAAAATGTTAATTGAAATAACAATGGTTATTGAAATCCAAGCATAAACAATTCAAGACAATATACTATTTGCAGGAAAAGTTCTTGATTTAAGGAAACTTTCTCCGCCATTCTAAGTTTTTTCATTGCGACACTTCATTCGTAAGTAATATTCGGTTTATTTTGAACACACTCTATTTATTATTGTATTTCAAGCGCCAAAACTATATTAACGTTTGACATAAGGGAGTCAATAAATTTTTATACATGAGGAAATAATTATTTTTTAAAATTGTTTACCCAAGATTTTTACTCGATATAACATAAAACATAGCTGATTAGCTAAGATTTATTCAGTAACTTTTTGAAAAATCGATTATTAATCCTAATGTATTGGTAGGAAACATATTAATATTACATTCAGTGTTATTCAGAACAGTCAGATTTTTATTTTGTATTTAATCGATAACAATATTTAATTCATAGAACGTGGTTCTATAATTCATGTAGAATGAATAATTTTTGTAGTAAGTTTTGTAGTAATTGACAATATTAAACTCGTTGCAGTAAATGCAAGCTACATCGTCCGAGTCTTTTTCTTCAAAAGAAGATTCACAATCGTCTTCAGAACTGTTTGTAGTTGAAACACGAACTTGCCTTTTTATTTTTCTTGCGTCTTGTATTCTTTTTTTTTTGTTTCTTTTTCTGCAATTCTTTGTTTTATATCATCTATTTAAGTATTCTGTTTTACCCCATTTTCTACCCCTTTTCTGAATTAGTTGAGATACTCCAGCTAAAGGAGGAGGACAAATATCTTCGAACGAGATGTTTAGGACTGACGATGATGTTGATTTATGATCAGTGATTTTTGATAAACCTTCAATCGAAGAAACATTTTTTTTCCGATGTTCGGGTAGTGAGTTTTCATTAGAACATCCTGGTAGTGGGTTTTGTTCATAATTTTCTCTATCTGTTGATATAGATAAAAATCTGGCAAAAATTGCCAATCCTCGAAGACATCTGGATTGAACGGTTCTATTCCTGTCTTTTTAAATGCATTTATCGCATTTGATGTAAGAGCACTTTTTAAATATGCTCTATTAAAGATACTGGCTACTTTAAATTGGGTAACTGTTTTACCTGGATTCTGTCGCAGCCATAATTGAATTTCTTGGCCATAGTAAGTTTGAAGTGGTCGAAAAAATCCTACGTCCAAGGGTTGAACTTGATGAGAGCAGTGAGCAGGAAAACAAAACATAATAATACCGTTTTCTTTTGCAAACTGGAGTGCTTCAAAACTTTTATGACTACGATGACCATCGAGTAACAACAAAACTGGTTGGTTTTAGAAGCCTTTGAATATCTTAAACAATGTTGCAGCCAGATACAGAAAATGTTGGAAGTCATCCGTCCTTTTTCGTGAGCGAAGGCTACACTTCCAGTAGGTGCATCGATCATAAGTTCGTCTTTCTTTCTCTGTCGAGGAAAAATCAAAGCGGGAGGAACATATGTTCCAATTGCATTAAATGCACATACGACCGTAACATCTAGACCGCGCTCTGTACTACTTAAAGCGCCAACGTGTTTGCGACCTTTACTATCATAAATCTG